GAGGTGATAATTGGGATACTCTCCTGTGCTTTTCCACATTCTGGTACAATAGCTCGGTAAACTCCAGTACAGGATATACTCCATTCGAACGCTTATACGGACGACAACCTGTCATCCCATCAGTTTTTTTTAAAGATCCAGAGCCGGTGTACACTTTTGATGATTATGCAATCGATCTTAAGAAGAAAATGCAAGAAACGCATAAAATCACGCATGATAATCTTATAAAATCTAAAAATAAAAATAAAAATTATTATGATAAGACTGCACGTGAACAGATCTTTCAGGTGAGTGATAAGGTTTTAATAAAAAACCAGAATAAGAAACATTCATTGAAGGACCTATGGTTGGGACCCTTCATAGTCACTCAAGTACATAATAATGGAAACGTCACCATTTTACAAGGAAGACGTGAAAAACGCGTTCACGTCAATAATATAAAAAAAATTTTTGATTAAAACAATTTATTCTACTTTATTCATTATTTTTATTCTAATTTTGTTTATAATGACCTATAAAAAATTTTAATTAATAAGAAGTAGTTTTGCTCTTTATTTTTATCGGTATATACTTTTTCTCCTTTCTATTTCAATTATGAGCAACCGGTCCTGGTCGACAACATAATTAATAAACAACTAATATTATATTTTTATTTTTTTTGTGATTTAGTCGCATTCCCATTCGACTCAGTAATGAGTTATTGCAAAAATTAATAGAAATTAAAAAGGATTTGACCAAAATGTTCGGAAAAGACACTAATAACATAATGGAGTTAACAGTCTTTGAAGAATTAACATCCGAAGAACTGATTAAAATTTTAATAGAAAATGATGTAAATTAAACCACAATTTTTATACATTTTTTTTTTTAAACTCGCAAATAGTCCGAATAATTTCTTTAATTAATAAACAAGTGATATTATATATTTTTATATAGACCACAAGTCAACTTCATGGTAGCCGATTTCGAATTTACTACTTTGAATAAAGATAACATAATATTAATTTCGGGAGCAATCAGTAACTCCTTACATCGGTTTTCCATCCAAAAATTGTCCGGAAATCCAATAATTTTCCATCAGGACAAAACCCATAAACTCTTTTCCGTCCAAAACCACCTTAAGCCATCCGTTAGGTTATTGGAGCGAATATTTAAAACAAAACCAGAAAAACTGGCAGCAGCCTTGAATGAACTTTATGATGCCTTTTCGAAGGAAAAGGCACACTTAACAGTAGCTTCATTAAGTCTTATATAAATTTCAACGTAGCACATAACATTATCGTCACATGGTGTGGTGAGTTCGACAGGATATTATTGGACCTATTGGGGGTAGAAAACAAGATCATCTCAATGAAGGGTTATGACGTGTACAACAACGGTATTTTCTACATTCTATTATCAGAACTTCGCTCCAAGCAGGACATTTGCCGCTTTTGCATCGGGCCTTTCCCGAAGCAGGGGTGGCAAATAAATTTGGTGGAGGCGCACGGAATTCTTTGTGATACACCTCATAACCTGACATTTGCGCATGACGCAGCAACGGACGTCGAACTCACTAAATGCATCAGTCCCGCAGTAACCATGCAGTAACCCGATTTACACACATTATCTATTAAATGCCTTAATAGATAATCCTTATACTGAGGAGGAGCTAAATAAAACAATTGGCCCAATTTTAGATTTTATTCGAGATGTAATAGATACTAGAGATATTAATAGAGTTTGTAAGGCATTTGCAAGAACTATTGATACCTTAATAGTACAGGGCATGTTTTTGGGAGATATATTAGATGAGCTTAATAATAATAATATTTAATAATAAGTACTAATAATAATTAACTTTATATTGGTATTGCGATTAGTTTTTAATTTAATTAACAATTTTTAAGTTCTTTAAGTGAAATTTTTAATTACCCATTTAATTTAATATTTAAACAGTTCACCATGGAATATCAGCTATTTGCACGATTCCATAAGGTCGATTTGGCAGCAAAGATCGTCTATAGCCCATCAGAATATAATTTAAGTGTGTTTTTTTATAGTTTATGTCAAATCATTTATAAAGATAGAATTCGCCATAATAGATACCATTATAAATCCTTGGATTGGTGCCTAGGTAGGGCGAACGTCGTTAGTAACACTAGTTTCACCAGCACTGACTTAACTTAGTTTGAGAACCATCTGGTAGCAGCGGCCCAGTTTTTGTTAAATTGTGAGGACCGGAGGAATGTTCCTCTGGCTCTTTTGTCCTTAGCACCAGGGATAAGCAATCCACATGCGTTATTGCTTTTCCCTCAGGTGACGATTAAATACCAGCCGCAGGGTGTCTCACCGAGGTCACCATCCATTTTATCTGCACCTGACATAATAGCACCTAGACCTATTGCCGTAGTTAAAGGATACCGTAGAGAATAGTAGAAATTCGTTTTTTTTTAATTCATATAACTTATATTAACTTATACTAAATTTATTATTTTAGCATTTTTTTTCTCTCACTATATTTAGATAACGTATACTAAAAAAAAAAAAAAAAATTTTAAGATAAAATAAAAAAAATTATATATATTTTATTTTTATAGTTTACATACTAGATTAACTTATTTTATTAACTAGAATTAGATATATTTTTACTTTTAATTATCATATTTTTGGAACTATATGCAAGCACTAATTCATTTTTATTATTAAAAACTGTATTATAATAACTTCTTAATTAATCAATAATATTTAGATAACTCAAATCAATGTATTACACTGAAGAATTCGTAATGCAAGTTGAGGAATTCATAATGTCAGGAATTTGCAATAGACCTTCTTTTCCTACATCACCTGATGTCACGAAAAGAGATGATATTTATTTTAATAATTTTATACAGTTAACCCATCAGGATATCTATATATCAGTTCCTACTCATAAATATAACTTAAGAAATAACATTACTAAAACTTACAAAACTTTATCAATGTTAGTAGAAGATGCTAACGAAATGTTACATCGAACAGGTAATGAATTATTTAGCACAGAGGAATTAAGTGAAATAGAAATAAGCTTGAGGTTAGCCGCCCAACAATTAGCAGGATGTCTTAACACAAAAGATGAATATAAATAGGAGTAGGATCCAAGCCTATTCCAGACGAATTATTACACTCAAGTTAAATACACCTATGTAGCAGTTTGTCTACGCACTTTTACTGTACAATAAATTTATACTTATAATTTTGAAAAAAGTCTTAAATTATTTTAAATCCATCTTCCTAAATTGGTTTCAAATTGAACAACACGATACTTTTTGATATTATACATCACCAAGCATCACAAATGTATCCCTCCAGTCAGCCTATAACTATTTAACGGTTTTTTGATACTATATCACAATTGTTTAATTTTGTTTCACAGTTGAAATGAGTAATATTACGAAGCAGATGCGTCTTAATATAGTTGGAGATGGTTTAGAGGAAATAGAATCATTTAGAAAGCGACGTTCAAAACCATATTTTTTAAAAAACTTGTTTAAGTTATAAGACTTTACTACATTTTTTGAATACGCCACATCTTTTTTATTACCAAAAATCAAAGAAGAATGTCAAAACACATCAATCAAATTTAATTTATACCTCGATTGTGTATACGAAAATTTAATGAGCTTTGAAATTAGAGATATTGCCTTCAAAAATTCAAATGTTTTCACAACATCAGGTTCAGATGTAACCTAACTATTAAAATATATAACGTTACCAAAAAAACTCTAAAATAAGAAAGCTGTAAACAACGTCTATAATAATGATGAAAAATGTTTTAAATATGCTATTTCGTCTAAATTTGATGTGCGTAGTAACAAAAGTTGATTTCTTAAAAAATATTTCAATTATTTGGAGAAAAGTAGCAAGTTAGATTTTAGTTGTGTAAAATATCCAACTCCAATCAGAGATGTTAAAAAAATTGCAAATATTATTAAGTACTTAAGTTTAAGTTGATTATTAAAACAAACATACTTGTAAATATTTATATAAATTTGTAATAAATATTGTTTTTTTTTTTGTGCTACCTATTTGTAATTTAGTTGTAAACTTTCATAAAATCAAAAAAAATGTTCTTCATAGTTTTTAAAATGTCACAAACTACAAAAAGCTCAAATTATAGCGAGGTATGTTTAAATTGCCCGTTAAACGTAGACCATCTTATTCCGGCAAAAAAAATACACCCGCACCTTAGGAGGAAGCATGGTGTGGAAAATGTCCACGCTGGGATATATGGAGGATGGTTTGACGAGAAGGTTTTTGGTGTAATAGAAGATTGGGATGACGAGGCGCAAGTTCCAGCAGCAATTAATAAAAATGTTTACTTTCCGTACAAATCTTAATTTGTATTTTTTTTTTTTTTGCTAATCTATAAAATAAAATAAATGTTGATCACCCTACTTTATAATTATCTTTTATTCTTTTTTAGCAGTCGGTTAATTGTACACTAGAATTAAACTATACAATGTCATTCAAATACTCTGTGTATGTAGGTACTTAATAAAGTATGATGTGTTATGACCCTACCCTTCAGTTAACCGCTACAAACCATTTACACAAAACACACAACTACACTAAGCCTAATAATACTCATATTATAATAGCTCTCTGAGTCATAAAAGCCTAAGGCTAGCCCATGCCATGGCATGGCCTTAGGCCGCCGGCGGTAAGCTAGTAAGGTGGAGTGAGGTAACCCCACATGTCGTCGTCGTCGTCGTCGTATACCAATTTGAAATTGGTGAACAAGCAACCAGTACGAGGTTCGCGGCGGCGGCGGCAAAAATAGTGGCACGTGCACGTGGGCGGACTAGTTGCACAGATGGTCTTATAAAAACCCGTTTCGTAGTTAATGCGTTAGTACAATATGTTTACCCAAAGTGGCCTCACGAAGCGCATATAAAAAGCATCGAGTATGGATCTCGGTTACAGTGCGTTACCAAATTTTCCACAGAAAACATTGTACTCGCCGCCAGAAAACGAAAATGGATCTGCAAGAAACCGAAATTTTTACGCAAGAACACCAACCGATCGCTTCGACATCGACAGCGGCCCCGACAAAACCAAAACAAACCACGCTGAAAAAAAGGCCAAACGCCAAACTGGGGTTTACTTCCGCTCCGCACCACCAACCGAAAAAAACGAAACAACCGTCGAACCAAGTTATCGAGTTGGTGGATTCGGAGGACGAGACAACGGACAGGACATGGCGAGAAATGCAGTCGACAACACTGTTAAACCTACCCGTGAAAACCATAGTCGATTTGGCCGACTTTACTCATTTTTCGGGCTTCATGGAAGTGTTGCTCACCGAGGACGTGCCGATCGAGTCTCTGATGTTGATGCCGACAGTCGCGGTGGTAATAATGATGGCCATATTTGTCAACAAGAACCCGATGCCGAACATTTCCAAGGCCGAAATATTGGCGACGTTGTTAAATTTCCAGCTTTGGAAATGCCCGACATTGAATGTAATGCAAGATCTCAAGACGAAGTTATACTCGATCCCGGTGTGCCGCATTCCAAACACCGACGACTCGTCGAACCTGTTCGACACATACATGATCATTTTGGGCCAGATTTACTGGAAGACAACCGACTGCTTGGAGAACACGCCGCTGAGTTGCATCAGCGATATCTGGGAAGCCGTTCCGCCTACCTCACGGACATATGTGTCCCTGAGGGACGCGAAGAGTTTGTTAAACTTTATGCTGAACTCGCGGTGGGACTCCAGCAGTGCGATCAGACAACCAGAGAGCAGTTCAGAATTATATCGGAACACGGCGACCACGTCCACGTCGTGCACGCCTGCTCTTACTCAAACTCAGCTTGTCGCTGTGCCTGGCTCCGTCATAGCACCGTCTGGAGGGCACGGCGACGAGTTAGATATCGACGACGAGTTTTCCTCGCTGACCTCAAAACTGTCGACTGGGAGAATATCATTAGATATTTCTCTGCAAAAGGATACTCAGTCAAAAACAGCGAAGGCCCACGTAATTATGGAGGATTACGTGTACGAATTGAAAATGTACAAGTAAGTTGTTTAAAACGATAAAAACGATAAAATTTTTGACTAATGTATATCGATGTAATTTAAAGGAAGGAGGATATCCGGAACTTGGATCGCTCTCAGTGGTACACCCGTGTCCACGTGAAGGCGGTGGGGACGGTCAAGCAGGGACATCCGACGAAAAAAAAATTAGACGGTCTGGTTGGAGATCTGATGGCGGATTTAAAAACGAAATCCAATTTACGGATGGAGAAGAGCTACACCTATGGCCAGAAACATTAGAACAATTATTGCTAACATATCCTTGCTGCCCGCCAGACGCTTTTTTTAATATAAAAGAATTTTACAATAACCCCAAACTTAATTTTCTCGACGATACTTCCAAAAAAGTTAGGGTCGCCCTTCGCAATTGGTGTGCTCGTATCGCCGAATGGACGATATCGGATTTCGACAATTTTTACAATACCCCCGGCATCTTTCCCTATTTTAACGCGTACGCTCGGCAACACGATAGCGTATACTACGACGTCGACGTTTCGGTTAAAATCGCCAATGACTTGTTGGAACTACAGTTTCAAAATGATTCGGATACCATCTCGAAGTTCCTCAAGGACATTTACGATATCTGCGACAAAAAAATACCGAAACGCAATTCGATGTGCGTAGTAAGTCCACCATCTGCCGGCAAAAATTACTTTTTCGATGCTATTGCGTCGTTCTTTTTAAATTACGGCATGTTCGGAACGGCTAATAAAACAAATAACTTTTCGTGGGCAGATGGTGCCGGCAAACGCCTCGTGTTGTGGAACGAGCCAAATTAAAAAGCCAAATTTAACGGGCAACGCCAGGGTTAGGACAGCAAGTACATATTATAAACACGATCCCTGATGAAGAAATATTTGATTTTACCATTAACTATTCACAACTTGGAAAAAATAACATACATTAGGATCCACGCATTCAATGTAACCATTACATTTAAATATTTTATCCATCGATGGATACATGAACGAATTGCATTCAGAAGTATTGATGCGCAAAAGCCCTACAATACAGTTCGACTTTATAGAAGCCTTCGACATAGTAAATTATAGAACCATGCAAAACATTTTTTGGGACGTTGACACATTTTTTAACATATTTTTCTTCATCCTTAGACAATGTAATCAATATTATTTAAGTAGGTCAATAAAAAAAAACAACCTACTCACTCCTCAAAGAGAACCCCTATACGATTTTGCAATATTGAACCATTGAGTTCCGATCGATAATAATTTTGGGACACAAATAATTGTACAATTTTATTAATGTGGCAATAATAATAACGAGAGGGTAATTGCAATAAAAATTAATTTATTATTTGGAAACACTATTTTTGATTAAGTCTGCTTATGAACATTACTGGCTACCTTTTATCGACTAGATATGTCTAGGTTTTCATTCAACATTGTTGAAAAAATATGATGAACACTTTATAGAAAACGTGCCACCTGCCAGTACTACTAACACAATACTAATAATATAAATAAAACTGTAAGTTAATATATTATAGTATAATCATCTAAAATAACAATACAAGATAGTACATGCTTTAAACATCACATATTATTCATAATATTTTGTGTTCATTTTTTTTTTTTTTTTTTTAGAAGCCGATAATCTAAAATTTGTTGAAACGAGCTTTTAGTTTTATTTTCATAAGAGAATAATTGTTCAGAATATATTTTTTTTATAATAATCGTATGCATTAAAAATAAAATTACTCTCACATTTAAAAACTTTTTTTTTCTTATTACTTTTTTCTAAACATGTTTTTTTATCATTAAAATTGAATACGTTTTACTGCCTTTCAATAAAAATATATTTTAATCGTTTGTACGTTTTTTCTTTTTTTTTAACAAGTTTTTTATACATAATTTATGTCAAGTCAAGTTGTTACACTGTCACGTGCGTAATCATGTTGACTAAGCTCAGTTTTTTTTTTTTTTCATTGGCTGCCAATAGCCTTTGTGAAATTTTTCTAAGAGCTTTTTCTTTAAACCACTTTTTTTGTCCGTGTTTAAAGAATATTTTGCTGTCAATGAGCAAGTCAACATGTTGTGTAATTTGGTGTTCGTATTAAGAGATTACTGCCCGCTAGTTCTATATAAGTAGCCAACTCAGCAAATCATCTTATATAGCGCGTAATCCTTATACGATTGTAACACACCTAGCATATCATCAAAACACGTTGCTTCCTTATTTTATACACAATTTGTATTTTTTTTTATTTGACTCGACTTTTATCTGTAAGCACTCGTGACAAGTTACACTCTTGACACAGCATAATTTCTATATTATACTATAATATTATCCATTAGTATAAATCAGTGTGTTACTTATGTTATAATAAGCAAAAACCAGTAAAACGTATTCTTAACAGCTTTCAATTTTAACCTTTTTTTTTTTGGTAAGTAATCAAATTTAATATGCATACAAATATTTCGTGTCGTTTGTGATTTTCAAACTACTGTTCTAAATTTCCTATATTTTTACGTAAACAACCAATGTTAGATTTCGGATTCTTTTTTTTTTTTTTTAAATATGTTTAAAACATGGACTACCAAAAAAGGCAAAATAGTTAACGTTGGTGGTAAAGCCAGTTAAGTTAAATCATTTAAACATAAGTTTAACTTGTTTTATTATTTTCGATAATTGGTGACCAGTAATTTTATAGTCAATAATAGGTATGAACAATTATTATTAAAACTCAGGGTTGCCCGAACTTGAATTCCGAAATTTCTGTACTTTTGCTATTAACGGATCTTTATTTTATTTCCTTGAATTATAACTCAGAAAATAAATAAACGATACTTGAATAGCACTTTAAAGAAATTATAATAACCTCAAAATTGTTCCCAAAATAATGGATAATAATTTTTCAAAATAATTCGATGTGATATTAAGGTCTTAAAAAGTAGAGCAGGGAAAATCAAATGTGTGACATATTATAACTCGGTATTTTACTAAAAGACATCACTCAGTGGCTCAATTGCATAAGACCGCTTCTTTCATAAACGTTTATATTATGTTAATATAAGTTAGGTGTTGGTGGAGTATACATCTAAATAGATGCATCTAGTAGAAAATGTATGAAAATTAATATAATTAAGCAGTCATATTCCATTATTAGTAAGACTGAGTACAGAATACGTAGCGAGATCCTAGGTAAATATTTGTTTCTTCTAGGCACACGCTATAAAATTTTTCAAATCAATTAAATAAAAAATAATTCTTAAAATTGTTCAGTTTTAGACCGAGAGTATTCGAAGATGTAAAAGGAGTAAAAAAAAAAATGTCCAAGCCTTTAACGAAGAGACGAGAAGGGATATTTTTCAAAAATATTGGTGTGGGAGGAAAAAGAAGACTTTTGTAATTAGCATGGTGACAAACACATTACGTAAGACACTACTGGACTTGGAGATGAAAGCCGAAGATCAAGTACATTTATTTATTTCTTAAAGCATAAACATTCGGAGTCACACAGTTATCATTCAAATTATCATGGAGTATCAACTGTTTACGCGCTTTAATAAAGTCAATTCAGCAGCAAAAATAGTGCATACTCCCCTGGAATATAATTTAAGCGTCTTATTTTATAATCTATGTCAGGTCATCTATAAAGATAGGATTATTCATAATCGTTGCCATTATAAATCCTTGGATTGGTGTCTATGTAGAGCTAATGATATCAGTGGCACGCGTTTCAATAACACTCAAGTGACTCAATTTGAGAGCCATCTGGTATCGGCGGCCCAGTTTTTGTTAAATTGTGAGGACCGGAGGAATGTTTCTCTGGCTCTGAGTCGATCACGAGCAATTAGTTTCATAGTAGCTCTAAAAATATAGCAATGGATACGGAAGACCATTTTACAGTTTCAAACGGAAATTTCGTTACATTAACATGTTTAGGAAACCATGTAGGATTGGCTAATGCCTTAATAGATAATCCTTATACTGAGGAGGAGCTAAATAAAACAATTGGCCCAATTTTAGATTTTATTCGAGATGTAATAGATACTAGAGATATTAATAGAGTTTGTAAGGCATTTGCAAGAACTATTGATACCTTAATAGTACAGGGCATGTTTTTGGGAGATATATTAGATGAGCTTAATAATAATAATATTTAATAATAAGTACTAATAATAATTAATTTTATATTGGTATTGCGATTAGTTTTTAATTTAATTAACAATTTTTAAGTTCTGTAAGTGAAATTTTTAATTACTCATTTAATTTAATATTTAAACAGTTCACCATGGAATATCAGCTATTTGCACGATTCCATAAGGTCGATTCGGCAGCAAAGATCGTCTATAGCCCATCAGAATATAATTTAAGTGTGTTTTTTTATAGTTTATGTCAAATCATTTATAAAGATAGAATTCGCCATAATAGATACCATTATAGATCCTTGGATTGGTGCCTAGGTAGGGCGAACGTCGTTAGTAACACTAGTTTCACCAGCACTGACTTAACTCAGTTTGAGAACCATCTGGTAGCAGCGGCCCAGTTTTTGTTAAATTGTGAGGACCGGAGGAATGTTCCTCTGGCTCTTTTGTCCTTAGCACCAGGGATAAGCAATCCACATGCGTTATTGCATTTCCCTCAGGTGACGATTAAAAACCAGCCGCAGGGTGTCTCACCGAGGTCACCATCCATTTTATCTGCACCTGACATAATAGCACCTAGACCTATTGCCGTAGTTAAAGGATACCGTAGAGAATAGTAGAAATTCGTTTTTTTTTAATTCATATAACTTATACTAAATTTATTATTTTAGAATTTTTTTTTCTCTCACTATATTTAGATAACGTATACTAAAAAAAAAAAAAAAATTTAAGATATAATAAAAAAAATTATATATATTTTATTTTTATAGTTTACATACTAGATTAACTTATTTTATTAACTAGAATTAGATATATTTTTACTTTTAATTATCATATTTTTGGAACTATATGCAAGCACTAATTCATTTTTATTATTAAAAACTGTATTATAATAACTTCTTAATTAATCAATAATATTTAGATAACTCAAATCAATGTATTACACTGAAGAATTCGTAATGCAAGTTGAGGAATTCATAATGTCAGGAATTTGCAATAGACCTTCTTTTCCTACATCACCTGATGTCACGAAAAGAGATGATATTTATTTTAATAATTTTATACAGTTAACCCATCAGGATATCTATATATCAGTTCCTACTCATAAATATAACTTAAGAAATAACATTACTAAAACTTACAAAACTTTATCAATGTTAGTAGAAGATGCTAACGAAATGTTACATCGAACAGGTAATGAATTATTTAGCACAGAGGAATTAAGTGAAATAGAAATAAGCTTGAGGTTAGCCGCCCAACAATTAGCAGGATGTCTTAACACAAAAGATGAATGAGAAATGAGTTCTACAATGTCACGAAATGAGTTCTACACTGTCACTGCCATTGCCACTGTAAGTATTATATTGACTGTAGTTTATTACTCACATTTTATGGCACAACCGAACGGCACATTTTGTTTAACAAACCACGAGAGAGCTCGCTTATTTAAAAATAAAATACTAATAGAATTAGACAACCAAAAAAAAAGCAATTATAAAAAAAATATGGAGATGTATAAAAAACATGAACTAGATAATAAAATAAATAGAATGTTTAAAACAATTATTAAAACTTTTGGAGAAAATATTTTTATAAAAAAAATGATAAAAAAATAATAATTATTAGTTTATTTTTTTAATTTTAATGTATATTTAGAAGGTTTGGGTTTTTTTCATATAGTAAATGTTAAGAAATATTACAATAAATAATTTAAGAGAAGTAATTATTAAGTACTTAAGTTTAAGTTGATTATTAAAACATACTTGTAAATATTTATATAAATTTGTAATAAATATTGTTTTTTTTTTGTGCTACCTATTTGTAATTTAGTTGTAAACTTTCATATAATCAAAAAAAATGTTCTTCATAGTTTTCAAAATGTCACAAACTAAAAGCTCAAATTATTCCGAGGTATGTTTAAATTGGTTTAGAGGAAGTAGAATCGTTTAGAAAGCGACGTTCAAAAACATATTTTTTAAAAAACTTGTTTAAGTTATTAGACTTTACTACATTTTTTGAATACGCCACATCTTTTTTATTACCAAAAATCAAAGAAGAATGTCAAAACACATCAATCAAATTTAATTTATACCTTGATTGTGTATACGAAAATTTAATGAGCTTTGAAATTAGAGATATTGCCTTCAAAAATTCAAATGTTTTCACAACATCAGGTTCAGATGTAACCTAACTATTAAAATATATAACGTTACCAAAAAAACTCCAAAATAAGAAAGCTGTAAACAACGTCTATAATAATGATGAAAAATGTTTTAAATATGCTATTTCGTCTAAATTTGATGTGCGTAGTAACAAAAGTAGATTTCTTAAAAAATATTTCAATTATTTGGAGAAAAGTAGTAAGTTAAATTTTAGTTGTGTAAAATATCCAACTCCAATCAGAGATGTTAAAAAAATTGCAAATATTAA